CTGTACTTCGATTATATTCAATAATTGTTAAAATGACAACAAAATTTAATATAAAACTTTTAAAATTATTGAATAGTACAACCTTCTTGATATTTACTAAAATGGTTAGGAATTTAAGCCCTATAACCGATTACTGTATATTGGCGGACTAATACCACAGCTGGTGGGCAGCCAAATGCAGGCAAAAACATGTTGGCAAAAATTTATAAGGAATTCGTTAGCCGAGGGTTTGCTCGTTAACCGAAGTGAAGAATCTTATGGAAGGTAATTTGTTAACTGAAATTTCGTTAACCGAGGTGCTCGTTAACCGAGGGATCACTGTACTGTAGACTCGCAACTTGCGCTTATTTTTCTTACGTTGTGTCAACTATACGCAGATTAGCCCGGGGGTTAGGTTACAATTTTCAATTTCAAACTCAAATTTTCAAAATTTTTATGTCTAGTGAAAAATATAGCACTTTTATATTGAAATTAATCACTATCTTATAAGAATCCCAGCAATGTAAATTATATTCTCCCAGGTCAGTTCAGTGACATTTTATAAGAGAAAAACTTGCTCCTTTATATGCCAGATATTTGAATATGCACTGGATAAACCTTGGTGCCGGGTGTCAAAACACCTCATGTCCCCTCCCTCCCTCCCAGCCAGGGTTTGGTATTTTAGGCTTACAGTTTTTATCTCATATAATATCACAGACTATAGTTAGGAGAATATAATTTGCATTGCTGGAATCCTTGCAAGACAGCAAATAATTTGAATATAGACATTATATATTTTGTACAAGAGATAAAAATTAATCACCTGTATCACATTACTGAAGTGATTTATGAGTTTTACGCGAAGTCCCAGGAACGTAACCCTGGTGTAAGTTACGAATCTACTGTAATTGTACAGTATATGTATGCACTATTTTCTATAGAAATGGCAATGATTTTTTGGTATATGTAATGTATTTCATGGGGCAAAGGGAGGCTCAGGAATGTAACTCCTGTATTTTATTTATTTCTTATGGGGAAAATTGATCCGCTTAACGTTGTTTCGTATAACGTCTCGGTTTTAGGAAAGTAACCCCGACTTTAAGCGAGGACTTACTGTATAAGCTTTGTTACGGAAACTGAGCACTCAAGCAGGCAAATGTCTCTAGGTACTTTACTTTAACTTTTACTTTTATTTTAATCTCAAAATTTAAATAATTTCTTTACCTGTGTGTGTGTCTAGGGGTGTTTTTGGTTGAAATGATTTAGTTATAATACCTTGTAAAACTCATGCCCCATTATGTAACAAATGACAATCTGTTTGTATTATGACCTTTTCTAGTTATGTTTTACTGTAGGTTTAGTTATTATAGCATTACTTGGCTTAATTGAATAGTTGATACCGCACTCATGGTTGACATGACCACACCCAACACAGTATAAACAGTAGGATGTGAAAAATCTGCAAGTGATTTATAAATAATATTCTTAAAATAAAATCAACACAAAACACATATACAAGGGTGAAAAATGATGTACTCAGCTGTAGTAATACACATTACAAATAGATGGCCAGTAGATTCCTCTGTGTACAGGTAGTGCAGCTAACAGTGGGTCACTCCACTACAGAGCAGACGGGGGAACAGGAGCCGATGGTGATGAGAGTGGAACTGACGGTGACTAATGGGCAGAGTAGACATCACCTGTCATAGATGGCGCCCCCAATAACCAGCAATGGTTTTCCACCATTCAGGAGCCATCTCATGACTTGCTGGTAACTAGTGGTTTGGGGTCGTGTGGAATAAACCGTGCTGATAAAGGTGACAATGCAGTGTATTTACATGGAAGCGTGACCCTTTTATGTTACAGCTTCCATTGACAGTCATAGACTCAGAGGGTGGGCCAGGCAAGGATGTGTGCTGGATGTGTGTATTTTACCTTACCCACACTGTCTCACAGACAGGAACTGGACTGGAGTCTTAAATCTAGTGTGACACTGGTTTGATGAATTAGACATGTTGAAAAGCTGTAAAAACATTCATTTTATTGTTTTAATATAATATCTATTGATATTAATTCATTGCATAAATTCCAATTCAATTCATTATTTTTTTAAATTCCAATTTAATTCCAATTCGTGCATTTTTCCATTTAATTCAATTAATAATTGATCCCATGTCTGCATCTTCCAGACCTTGATATAATGGGGCTGTCCTTTGCCATATACAGTAGTGCATTAGATGGCAGTTTCACTGTATGTACCACTCATTAGAGTGAGGACAAGTGTCAAGTCGGTGTAATAAGTACCCGGGAGGAATTCTAACCTTGAAAAGGTGGAAAAGATAAAATTTCTCCTAACACTATTTTTCTAGTAAGAAATTAAGTTTATCAACACAAATTTGTCCAACAACCCATTTCTGAGGAACCTAACCCCTATAAGAGTTTTGGATCAATCTTTCATTTATGGTTGAGAAAACAAGCAAGTGACCTGGATTTCCTCCTTCCCCCTCAGTGCAAAATCCCGAACTGGAGGTTATTGGATGCTGAAGCACAATATCCTTTTGTGGTTAAATGGGCTACAAAACATGAAATTGAGAGTTCAAAAACTTGTGATCTGGAGTCCTTGCTGATCTGTGAGATAACTACTAAATGTATATCTAAATCTGAATTTGACCAGGTAGGTTAGGTGCATTGTATCATTGTTTTCAGGAAGATCGTGTCTAGTGTAGATACAATAGTGTTATCCTGCTGCCAAGTACTACACATCCTCTGGATATTGGCAGGCTCTGCTTGAGGGCATGTAGTGATGGTCTGTTTATCACATCACTCGTTTAGCTCCGTAGCCATGAAAAACGAATTTAATGCCTCATTCCTCCATTTATAGTAGGTTCTGTGAAGCATACCATGTATGATGTCTTTAGTTTATATCATAGCCACTTTTAGCTTCTTTCCTTCCCTTAGATATTGGAAGTACAGTGTACTTGTGCCATATCCTGTTATCCTTATTATTCCATAGCTGTCAAGTACGATTACATGCCAGTAAGACTAGCAGTATGTGGTAGCCTATTGCCATTATTATTGATCTTTGCTACCCTGCTTCATGCAACCATATACTGTATGTATTACAGAATAGTATTATATTTTTTGTTGCACTCTCACCATTTCCCCGATGTAAATACAGTACAGTTGTATCTGCTAACGCTGTCAATTGAACCCACAGGGTACGTGTTAAGTGAAAACCTCGTTAAGTGAACAACAGAACATATGGGATTAATTCCAATAGAGACTGGCCGGACCCTCAAACTCTACTCTTTCCGACACAATACCTATGTTCTAGTAAAAATAACATCTTCATTTTATGATGGTACATGCACACAATTAATACTTAAGAGAAATAGAGAAATACAGTCGCCAAGTTAATGTCCATTCAAATAATGGACTCAACTCCCTCCCCCTCTTCTCACACTACACTCGCTGGCTCTTCCCTCTTGAGAAATTTTGGGGGGAAAACCACTAAATTTTAATAAATAATACCTCAAACTAAAGTTAGGATAATACAATTGACATTGCTGGATTCCTTGTAAGACCAGGAATATTTTGAATATAAATGTCATATATTTTGCACAAAAGATAACATATTTACTCAGAGTAAACATTATATCTAAAATTTGTATGTCTAATGCAAAATCTATGATGTTTATATTCAAAATGATCACCAAATTGTAAGAATTCCAGCAATGTAAATTATATTCTGGCCGGGTAATTTGTATGAATTTTATGAGCTAAAACAAATATCTTCAGTTAATAAAAAAAAAAATATTCTTCACGACACTATCTGTCAATCAAAGTACCCCACCTTGCCTCCCCCCCTCTTCCAACCACGCGGTCCGTCCCAACCCTCCCCCCCCACCCCCCACCAATCCTCCCTTCAAGAGATGTTGGGTGAAAAAACTAAATTTTAACATTTAGTATTAAATAATACCTCAGATTAAAGTTAGGATAATATAATTGACATTGCTGGATTCCTTGTAAGACCAGGAATATTTTGAATATAAATGTCATATATTTTGCACAAAAATAACATATTTACTCAGAGTAAACATTACATCTAATAATTGTATGTCTAATGCAAAATCTATGATGTTTATATTCAAAATGATCATCAAATTATAAGAATTCCAGCAATGTAAATTAAATTCTGACCGGGTAATTTGTATGAATTTTATGAGCTAAAACAAATATCTTCAGTTAATAAAAAAAAAAAATATTCTTCACACGGTAACAGATGGTCGGTCGGTCCCTCCCTCCCCCCACCCCCCACCAACCCTCCCTACCAGATGTGTGGGAAAACCAGAATATTTACCTTTTTAGTAATAAATAATACCTCAAACTAAAGTTAGGATAATATAATTGACATTGCTGGATTCCTTGTAAGACCAGGAATATTTTGAATACAAATGTCATATATTTTGCACAAAAAATAACATATTTACTCAGAGTAAACATTATATCTAAAATTTGTATGTCTAATGCAAAATCTATGATGTTTATATTCAAAATGATCATCATATTGTAAGAATTCCAGCAATGTAAATTATATTCTGGCCGGGTAATTTGTATGAATTTTATGAGCTAAAACAGGCAGGCAGGCGGGTGGCGGGTGGGGCGAATCTAAAATAGCATCTCGAGCCGGACACCCTGCACGTATACATAAAACCCGTGTTAAGTGAGGTTCGGCTCTGGCGAGGCACAGCGATATCGTGAAATCGTGAAACACAGCGTTAAGCAGGGTATTACTGTACATAACTGTAATGTAATCAATTGTTGTAACACTGACACATTTGTTTTATCATAATATTTTTTAAATAAATTTAATTGGAGTTCAGTACAGTAATGAAAATATTGTGGCAAGAAAAATTTACATGGTAGTAATTGTTTATATCTTCGTAACTTTACGTCCTGCTTGATTTAAAAATAACTCAAATTGTTTGCAAACACAAGTAAAATATGATTTTATTCTTCAGTTACCAGGTAGTGGTAGTGGGTGGTGGTGCTGGAGGATGTGCTTCTGCTGCAAAATTCTCCTCCAAACTTGGAAAGGGCAAGGTGGCTGTAATTGAACCCTCAGATGTAAGTCCTTTAATTTACTACTCACACTTTACATTAAGTTTTTATGGCTGGTCCCATAAAATCTGTTTAGGGAATCTTTATAGAGTATAAATTTCTGTAACAGTGTTTCAATTCTTCGATAATATCTCATATAGTGCTTAAACTGCGATTGTGGTAAAATTGGGTGTTCTGTGTACTGTACTGTACAGTACAGTACTGTATGCTGTATATATACCCAAAAATGGGATTTTTCAATTCATAAAAAATTTGTAAATTTTCTATTAAGTAATAGAAAAAAGCATGCAGAATAAAAGAATATGGAAAACTATATTTTTTTTTACTTAAATTTTGTCTGGTAAATATTTTTCTCTGTGCTCAATTCTATTACAATAATATACAGTAGGCAGTCCTCAGACTCTGAACATCATGTCTGAATGAGGTTGAACTTGAAATTTACAGTATTTTATTTACTTGAGGACATATATTTTACTTTCATTTACTGTATTTTGTCATTCTACTTCCTCTTTTCTCTTAAATTAACTTATTTTTTATCTATATCAGGACTTAGGCTATGATATAGTGGGATTTTAAATATTGCTTTGTAAGTACGGTATGCACTTAGCATGTGTTCCAACTTACATACATTTTTGACGTAAGAACGTCCCCAATGTGGAACTCGTTCATAACCTGGGAACTGCCTGTAAGGATAAGAGAGCCACTTACCTCCTGCTTATGATCCCCTGAACCTCGAGACATGAAGTTCTGCACTCCATGCCTGGTAAAGGTACAGAATGAAGTGCCAATCACTGGATAAAGTGAATGGGAGGAGCCATTTGTTTTCCAAGGCTTGAGAAATAGGCAACTCATTCATAGACAAGAATCTTAAGAGATATGTCTCAGGAGACAAAATCATTAATTCTCCTCTGAAGCTCTTAAATCATACCCCAGACATATTCGTAAAGAGAAATATAATTGTCATCAGATAGTGAAGAGAAATATAACTGTCATCAGATAGTGAAGAGAAATATAACTCATCAGATAGTGAGAAATATAACTGTCATCAGATAGTGAAGAGAAATATAACTGTCATCAGATAGTGAAGAGAAATGTAACTCATCAGATAGTGAAGAGAAATGTAACTCATCAGATAGTGAAGAGAAATATAACTCTTCGGATAGTGAAGAGAAATATAACTGTTGTCTGATAGTGAAGGAAAATATAACTGTCATCAGATAGTGAAAATAACTGTCATCAAAACCGATTCTAATTCTTCGAAGGCAAAAGTGCCTTTAGAATTTAGGAATCTTAGTGGTTCTAAAGACCAATTCATTTTCAATGACTACATTGGTAATTTCACAAAGAAAATTTTCCAGAGATCCTTAAGGTTATTTGGTCAAAGAGTGACAGCAGAAGCCTATCTTAGAGGCCTGTCTAATGCATGCTTGAAAGCAGCTGAAGTGTTAACAGACAACTTTCATATATGGAAATTTAAGATTAAAATTTTTATCACCACTGAGACTGAAACAGAATCCAGTTTAATCAACCTAATAAAAGCTTGGAAATGTTTCCTAACTGATTCATGCAACATTGCGGCGGAGAGAAATGGAAGAAAACTTATCAAGACGAAATGCCTTTGATTCCACCCTATCCAACTGTTGGACAGAAGAAGAGCCACCCCAGATATGAGAGCAGTACTCCAAGTTAGTTGGGCAGCTAAATGCAATTTTTCAACAGAATCATGCAAATGGTGATACAAGCACCGAATTTGACATGGTAATTCTCTAATGGTTACTAGTCAAGTCTGCCTGATTGGCCATTTGAAAATCCAAGATGGTGGCCATTTTTCAAGATGGCCACCATATTGACCTTCAAAAGTTGATTTTTCTTAGAAATTGATGTACCGTATATCACGGCCTATAAAGGCGGCGGGGGTGCATAAGACGCCCCCCCCAAATTTCCATTTAAAAAGTAGCTTTTGAGCTCTATTTGCTGTATAAGACCAGTACCCCAAATGTGACACTTACCCACTGACTCAATAGTCCTTCCAACCATCCTTGATTTTTTAAATGAGGCCAATTCACTTCAAGTAATGTCATCAAATTATACCGCTGGTGTAGTGTAAACACTAGTGACGTCACTGGGCGTCTGCTATTTACCGATAACTGGAACTAATGTCGGTATCGGTAAAATTTTTCCATTTACTTGAAATGGATTTACCGATTTTTGTTTACTTATTATTTATTTATAATATACTGTAACATATTAAACACACCAAGTATTTTCTTTCATTTATACGCTTGCTTCTACGAGGGCGATCGGTGGTGGGGTGTTCCCTCGTCTCGGTGGTGTGGCTGTGTTCCACTATTTATACAACATGTGGTTCCAGCAACAACCACCGTATTCTAATTGTGGTGTTTCATTAGGATTTGAATGAAAAAGGTTACCAGTATGTACTCACTACATACATTTATTACACAATATATATATATATATATATATATATATATATATATATATATATATATATATATATATATATATATATATATATATATATATATATATATATATATATATATATATATATATATATATATATATATATATATATATATATATATATATATATATATATATATATATATATATATATATATATATATATATATACTATGTACAAAAAATGAATGTTCAATGAATTATTTATGGTGCATTAGGGTACTGTAATACACTTCAGATGGGCTATAAATAGCCTTATCCTCCATCTCTCACCCTGAGCCAGACGGAAGGCAACATGTTTATTTTCCATTTACTAAATAGATTTACCGTAATTATTTGTTTTATTTATTTATTTATAATATACTGTAATATATTAAACACACTGTAATTATTTTCTTTAATTTATAAACTGTTTTATGACAAAGGAATGTTCTAGTAGTGTTTATAAGGATTTGAGTGAAAAAATATTACGTACTTACTACATACATTTATTACACAAACATATTTATATACAGTATATTATTTCTCAGTTTGATCTTTTTTTAATTTTTGTATTTATTTATAGTTAGTTACTTAAAATAAGGCCAATTCACTTCAAGTAATGGCATCAAATATTACTAGCTAGTAGTAAACACTAGTGACGCTACTTGAGCGTCTGTAATTAACCGTCGATAGTTTCAAATTAATGCACTCATTTACTGAATATTCTTTGTAAAAAAAAAAATTTAAATCAATTATTTATAGGAGATAAATATTATTATGAGTAAATATACCGATACGGTATGCATTACTGACCACCTCCACGGCTAAAAATAGCCCAATTCGGGTCACTTTGCCGTTCTTGTCTCTCACTGGCAAATGGGGGTGGAGGTGTGTGATGATATGTTTATTACAGGGGTATAAATCTCTTTTACGGTATGTTAGACAGGTTTATAATACATTTTATTATTTTAATATACCGTGATCTTAATTTGAATCCAGCTTGCCAAACGAAGTTTCAGTATAAAATAATTAGTGGTAAGACCTTGTGAGTGGCTTACGATGTTTTCATCACCACTCTTGACACACTAAACCACAATATTTAAGAGGTAAGAATTTTAAACTTGTGGTTTAGACGAATCTCTAACTTTGGGGCAGATTTTTTAATGTTCAAATTTCGTCTTATAGGCCGTGGATATCGCTGTAGCTAAATAAAAAATTATACTTCACGCGAGTATGAGTAGATGCACATGAAAGTGAAAGTCGGTTCTGGCAAGGTACCGCGTAAATGAGAAATCGTGAAAGTGAAACCGTAGAAAGCGGGGTAATACTGTACTAAAATTTTAAGTTCACTAGCTGTAATTCAAGATTATTTTATTTACATCAACACTGCACTGCGCTATATATTATCAATATGTTAAATAAATTTCAGAAATTGTAAAAATACTCTGTGTTCAAGAGACCCACAAGCAAGATGTTTCCTCCACTGAACAGAGACACAAACAGGTGCCTTGGTGTGAGAGTGAAGTGGCTGATGGGCTAAACAAAAACTAGTTCCCTGTACTGCAATTATGTTAAATAGGTGTTAAAATTACTACTAATTTTAATAAAAAACTTGGAAAAATATTGAAGAGCACAACCTTCTTGATATTTACTCCAATAGAAACGAAGGCAACCCCTAGAACCGATTACTGTATTAGCGGACTAACCTACCAGCCGATGAGCAAGCCAAAACATGTTGACATGTTTTCGTCAGAATTTTGTATATCAAATTTTTGTTCGTTAACCAGATTGAAGATTCTTATGGAAGGTAATTCGTTAACCTAAGCGTTTGTTAACCTAGGGACCACTGTACTGTGCAAACATAAATATTTCTTTAAATGTACATACAATACTAAAAAACTAAATATTACAGTAATAAATCAATGTAATTCTGAGCTGCACTAACGAGGCGATGGGCAAGGTGAAGAGGCAGTAGGTGGCACGCCAAGACACTTACACAGCACACATTAACAGCACTACTAAACCATTATCTTATAACATTTTACATTATAATTTCTATTTTAAAATTAGTTAATACATGATGGCTCGATTTTGCTAATTTTGCACTTAGACAACTGATCAATGAATAAACCAGGTCATCTGGAATCGCATTATACACAATTGCAACGACAACTGCGGAGCAATCACACAAATTATCACAACCACTGCAACTAAAACAACCACACAAATCCTTGCAGCTGTGAAACAATCACAAACAAGGTTTGAGAGCTGAGAAATTAATTGGGCCCCCCAACCACTGTGTTGCCTTTATGTACTCTCCCCCTCCCATCCAGCAGAGGAGGCAAGATGGCGGTGATAAGGATTTTACAGGATGATTTTTTCTTAAAGTTTTAATCTTATAAATTGTCACAAACTTGACTTAGTAAAATATAACTTGCATTGCTTGAATTCTTGCAAGATAATGATTAATTTGGGTGTAAACATCCCATAGTTTGCACTAGTCACAAAGATTTTAGTAATTAGCTTAGTACATTTGAGAA